ACGTTTGTCGTAAACGTGTAAAAAATTGTACAATGTAATCAAAAATATGATATAGTTTTCCATATTTTGTCTTAAAAAGTATTGCAAGTGCAAGTTCAGCCGCATTCTTCGTGCTGTAATGTGTTTTTCATTTTATATAATGCTTTATTTTGTGACTGTTTTTCAAGATGCCCCCTTTTCGTTGGCCGAAAGTTGAGCACGATCTGGCATTGTGTAAAGAGGTTGTTGCTGAAAGACCAGTAAGGCCTGAGGATTGGGAAATTATCGCATCAAGTCTATCCGTTATCTTTTCGACAACAGAAAGCCAAGTTCACTTGAAGGGACGAGGTTGCAGAGAGCACCTCGACTTGTTGGTAAAGAAATTTAAAGCAGACGAAAAGAATGCTTTAAAAAGGTATATTCTTTTATAATGACAGACATTTATCTCAGGCAATAGCTTTTATTTTTATTGCCCATGTAAAATAGACTATATTCTATAATTTGTGTCCTTATCTTATAACAGCAATACCCTTCAGGAAACTGAGGCAGAATCATTTCTGCACATAATTTGTGGCAGGAATCAGTATGTTATGTATTATTTTTTGGCTAATATGTTTATGCTAAGAGGTTGAGGCTTATATAGTAAAAGTATAACTTGGATATCATATTGACCAATAATTGCTCAACCTATGAGAATTCCAATGACCTATATACTAAGAGTCTAAGTGCCATTTTAGTTGAAGAATTCAAATGGTTACAACAGGATATATGTATTACATTGCTATTTCAATAAAACATTCCAAGAAATATCTGCCTGCATGGAATCATTGGAATGATTTTTGGAATGGACTACTTTATTTATTTGATTTAGTTACAAAACAATTTAAACAATAAAACAAAACAAGTGTAACCTTTTTGCTTTATCTCTCAATCACTTTTAAGCCCTTAAAAAAATGTTCTATAGAATATTCCATTAAAATTCTCTACTGAATATCCTATAGAATATTCTAAGGGATTTTGGAACCTATTCTATGGAACGTTCTACAACATGTTCTATAGCACCTTTAATAGAATATTCTATTACATATGCCATGTTTTATAGAATATTCAATAGAATATCCTTCAGAACATTCATTAGAATGTTCTATAGAATACTGGTATTCTATGGAACATTCTAACACATATTCTATGACATCCTATATGAAATGTTCCATAAAATATTTTCAATCTATGGAATATTCCATTAATGATCCTATTGAATATGCGATAAAATGTTCCATAGAATATGTATTCTATAGTATATTTTATAGGATAATCTATTAAATATGCTATTGGATGATAAATGGTATATTCAACATTCGTCCATGTTTCGACTTTGAAATATATCACTTTATAACAACATAATCAAAACTTCTTTCTGCCAAGAGTGAGATATACAAACAAATAAAATATTCTCAAATATATGTAACAAATTTATTTACTTAAAGTTCAATTGATGCAAAGATTTAATGAAAATGCCTTGCTTAAATTACATATAAATAAATCTAGAGATTAAAGAAATTGAAATACATATATTATACAACAAGGAATAAAAAACAAGTCCCATAAGTGTCCATATAACTTTAATCTGCATGTAGAACTCTAGTTCTGGTAATTAAGTCTGTCAAATAATCATTTTGTTTCGTGGATAAAACAACTGCAGCCGGTTGTTTGAAGGCTGTTTAGCTTAAATGGTAGTTAAGTGAGAATTATACACATTTCACACATTTTGAGGAGGATTCAATTGAAATATTATGCACTAAGTAATTGAAAACAATATGGTGTCACTCAAATTGAAATATTTTAGCTTGGTTTTTTATGAATGTATAAATTTATTCAATATTTTCTAGATAAAATTATTACCATACTGCAGTTTTCCCACCAAATAAAATGACTGTGCAAGAAAATAGCAAAAATATAACTAGGCTATTATACTAAATATATTTACATGTACAGAACATGTAAATAGTAGAAAATGGAATGTCATATAGTTACTGATGTCCAGATGCTTTCAACTTGGTTTTCTCAATTTGCACAATATTATTAATTTTTGGTGCCATAACTTGTCATATGTCAGCCTCTTTTCCCTCAAACCTTTTTGCACCATACTTTAGACACAGCTAGAAAGGTAAAAACTCATCAATAACTGAACCAAGATATGTATATAAGATATATTAACTTAGACCAGACATAATTACTAACAATTATACTGCTACCATATATACTCTTAACTTTCTCTGGCTCTGGTTTGCATCCTTTTCTTTGAATTAAGCTAGGCATTTGAAGCCTTTCCAGTGATGGAATGAGAGCAAAGTTGTTCTTGCATCCACGGCACTGCATAAACAAAACCTTTCACATTTAATATTGCTTTAATAGAGCTCCATTTTGACATTTGGTTAGTGTGATGCTTGGACAAAAGGAAATCTGTAAATTTTAACAATAAACACACAATTTAAACACTGAGACCTAGCTTATATTTAATTCAATTTTAATGATATATAAATTTATCTAGAGCTAGTGCAAATGTCTTGACAGAAATAATTTTTAGTTGGAATGGCTCTATTTATAGTGGTATAAATAAAAGGTGTAAATAAAATGTTCAATAAAAAGTTTAAGCTAAAGGTGAAAAAAAATGAGATAATTGATATACAGAACTTGTTGCCTATACAAACATATAGCATTTATAGCATATACAAACACATCCTACCACTGAATTCAATACTTTAGCTACACATGTGTTGTATAGATGGGTCAATGAACTTTTGATTATTTTCTTAACTTTAGAAATTTCTCATCGCCATGGCCTTTCTTTCTCACGATCCTAGTCACCTTTCAGGCATTCACAAAATTATCCATATCTTCTGATTCTTCTCGCATAATACAACGCGTTTCACCACCCTCCTATGATTCCTCTTTGACAAATTCAAAGAATGCGTATTTATGTAAATACGAAAGAAAAAACGCACTAAATTCTACCAGCATCAGTTATAAAACGTTGAATCAACGGATGACAAACTACATACAAGACGCGCTCAAAATTTGAAAATAATGCGTGGCGGTTAAACAAGTCCCACATAACCTTGCGGCCTTGTTTGGGCAAAACGCCCGCCATCTAACCTGCGAACGGGCATATTATGAAACAGATATGAGATATGTCATATGTGGGAAATATTCGTGATTTGTCTTTACAAAACAAATTATTTCTGCTGAGAATTTTAACTTTAAGACTTTAAAAGTATGTTGAGAGAACCTTACAAAAAATGCGATTATAATTCTCGACCAATGAATAGTGCACTAAAAATGTTATATTTTAAATTGCATAAAGGTCTCATTCTGTATAACATATATTCTATAGAATATTGTGTACAGCATGTTCTATAGAATATATTATTGGATATTTAATTTGAATGTTCAATAGAATATTCTATAGCATCTCTAAATTCTATAGAATATTGTGTACAGCATGTTCTATAGAATATATTTTACTGTGAATGTGCAATAGAATATTCTATAGCATCTCTAAATTCTATAGAATATGGCAATGGAATATGCTATAGGATAAGAAGTCCTATAGAATATTCTATGGGATTTAGAATATGTTATAGCATATTCTATAGGATTCTATAGAACATTTTCGTAAGGGAGATCTGGGACAGAAGAAGATTACACAGAATTAACTCAATTGTTGGAGGATATTACATCTTACCTAAATGATATGTCTAAACCATCAAGAAGTAAAGCCCACAAAATAGACAAAGAGCATGAAGATTATGTTAATGGCTTAAAAATGAGAAAAGCTGCAATGGAGACTTATGGTTAGTTATGCATCTATCAATTTAATGCGAGGGTCATGCATGCATAATATTTGGCACAGTTAAGCCGGTTTTACATTACAAGCCTGAGCCTGACTTTGGCCTAGATTTATTTGGTTACAAAGCATTCACACTTGTGTTTTCAACAGGCTGAATTTGGCCTAGAATTTCAGCAGTTTTCATATCAAAACCATTGAACTCTACAGTTCACCGATGTAAACTAACATACTTTGTGCCGTCAACTTTACCATAGAAATCTGGCCCATGAGTGTTTACACTACTGTAAAGACTAGCCTAGGCCTGATCTAGGCCACCTGTTGTGATGGGCCCAGATTTCCTGGTCTAGGCAAGGGTTAGGCCAGGCCAAAGTGCATTTACACTACGAAAATCAAAGCCAGGCCTACCGCCTTTGCAGGCTCAGGCTTGTAGTGTAAACACAGCTATAATTGATTTGTGTGATCCTCATCCTAATTAGAAATGCACAATTGCTTGATGCAAACAATTATATATATAACAAATATGATATATCATTGCACAGAGGCTATCTTCAGCCATGTTTTTGTTTTCTAAAGATAAAGAGAACAAAGATGAGGAACTTAATAGTAACAGCAGTGATGAAGAAAGAGATGAGGACATCTTTAAAGGTTAGTTAATAAATAATCAGAATTAGCTGTATATAAATCACTTCAATAACTTTTAAGATCTAAACCCATGTTATACAACCCACCCCCCCTTACTTTTGTTATTAAACATATGGCAGTTTTGTAAGTACATGGCTACCAATTGCTATTTCTTTTTTTTCAAAGTCCCCAAAAATAAGAAACAACGCAGAATTGGGCAAACACCTATGCTTCAATACCTTTCAGAAAAACATGTTGACAATATCAAGATTAAAGAAAGGTCACTTGCTTTAGAAGAAAGAAAATTAGAATTGGAAGCTCAAAAGATTGCTTTAGAGCAAAAGAAGTGGGAGTATTTGACACTGCAAGTTAAGAACAAAGATTAACTTTCCTGAATATATAAATTTAAAGAAGTACTTGTTAATTGAGTGACATAAATTACAGCAAATGTTAAAATGCAAGTTAATTTATTATTTGTAAATAATTTAAAATATTTCACACAATATTTATTGTAACAGTTCATTTAAAATCATTAAATAAATTCTTGTTTTTACATATTTCTGAGGTAAGCTTCTAACTGTGGTGGATCCACTCCAAAAAAATGTCCTGTTTGTGATCCATATAAACATGTGTGGCAATTCGTTAACAGAACAGCAACACAATAAAGCTTTCCAACTGGTTGTAGTAGAACTTTTAGGTTTTTGGAAAAGTCCATGAAAGCAAAGTACTGAACAATTTTCCCAAATCCCCACTCAACACTTGTTCTTACTGAGCTCATGTGTCGGTTGAACTGCTGCTGTGTTGGTGAGAGCTGTGCTCCTCTAAATGGTGCTAGTAAATGGCTCCTGACTGGATATGCTGGGTCCCCATAAAGTACGAACGGCTCACCATTTTCATTATTCATATGTAGCTGTAGTTGTTCCAGTAGTCCACTAGCTGTTAACATGAATGCATCGTGCCGCCGGCCTTCAATAGGGCCAAACAGGTTACATATTAAACCATTTGGGGTAACCACCGACTAAATTATAAATGTCAAAATATTGAATTAATAACTAAATAGTAACTATATGCACCCAGTAGCCTTCAGATGAGAAATAAAATGGTCTGGTGCTATGAAAGTAGAGTAAAAGAATTGTCATTGCTAGTGTTACAGTAAATATTGCATATTGTCAACTACCTGAAATTTTATGCAATGTGTTCTTTTATGTCCAGAAAACATAATCCTTTGGCTAAAAATGGGCCTGCAGATTGGTCTTGCAGTTCCATCTATGAACCCCCAACAGTTTCTTAATGGTGCACCTCTTGCATGTATAGCATCACAAAAGATTTGTGGATCCAGCCAAGCCAGGTTCAGTTGTGTCAACAAGAAAGAAAAACGATTATAGAGGTCATTCACAATCTAAATAAAACATAAGGAAATACAATTTCAGATCACTTCAGGATGTTTTTAGGTTGATGCCATATTTTACATAAATACTTGAACAAATAAATAAAATAAATACTTGAATAGCTTGGAATTTTTTCATTAAAGCTGACCATAGCACAGAAATAGTTTGTCATTCTGAAAGCATGTCTAGACAAGGCTATTTCAAGGCTATACATACATACAGGCAGCCACTATTTTAACTCAAGAAAAACGTAATATTTTGCACCTCATTAAATATTAAACTCATCTCTGGTTCTGGCCTGCCAAATATGCCTGAAAGGTCGCACCACCTGTTCGGATATGCCAGCCGCCTCAGCAAAATCATCAGTGCTTCCATTGACGTGCTCATTGTCCTTTGATGGCACCTGTAGTATTCTGGAAGCAATAGTGCTTCGGATAAACGTTTCATGTCTTCTTTCCGAAACCTGAAAAATTAAACAACAAAACATAGGTTTTCTGCATTGCCATTTAAAAATAATTAAACTTAATAACTGGGGACTTTAATTTCCATCTCGATGACACAGCAAATGAAGATAGTAGAAAATTCATTGAAGTTTTGGAAACATTTGGCCTTATGCAACACGTTATGTTTCCAACTCATGTATCCAATCACATACTGGATCTTATTGTTACGAGATCGTCAAGCGATATTATGATTAGCAAAGTTCAGCCTTCTTATTTCCTATCCGATCACTGCTTTGTCGAATGCAGTTTGTCTGTGCCTCGTCCCAATCCTAAACCGAAGGAAATTCAATATCGTAAAATGCGACAAATTAACATAGATGCGTTCAAATCTGACATTGCTGCATCTAATCTATGCAAACTTGGGATAACTTGAATGACTTGATGCAAAGCTATGATGAAACCTTGTCTAATATTTTAGAGAAGCATGCTCCCGTTAAAAGAAAGGTAATAATCGAGAGAACAAAACTACCATGGTTCAGTGACGAACTTAAACGTCTGAAAGTAAATCGCAGAAAATTAGAGAGGAAAATGTTAAAGTCGAACTGTGAATGTGACAGGTCACTGTATCGTGCTGCCTGTAATAAATATTCTAAATTGAGGATGGGCAAGCGATTATATTATTCTGAACTCATTGACCAGTGCTCAGGTGACTCAAGAAAACTTTTTAAGGTGGTGTCTTCTCTTTCCAAAGTTCCCAATGAAAATTCCCTGCCTCCGCATACTGATTTGGGTCAGCTTGTGAATGAGTTTGGCGAGTTTTTTCATCGAAAGATTGAACTAATTAGAACCGAAATCGATAGCATCGCAGTACAACCTCCATCTGTTGAATATTGGCCACCTGCAGCTGAATTTACATCATTTCGTCAGTTAACAGAGGAAGAAATTTGCGACATTATTATGAAATCATCAAAGGCTACTTGCAAATTAGATCCAATTCCAACCTGGTTAGTGAAATTATGCGTTGATGAACTGAAATCTGTAATAACAAAAATTATTAATATGTCATTGCATCATGGTTATGTTCCTGAAGCATGGAAAGTTGCTCTTCTGGTACCTATATTGAAGAAACTTGGTCTTGAGGCTTTATTTGAGAATTTTCGACCTGTGAGTAACCTCTCATTTGTTTCAAAAATTGCTGAAAAGGCTGTTGTTGGTCAAATAGTTAACCATTGCGAAGAAAATGCACCACTTCCTATTAATCAATCAGCTTATCGCCCTTTTCACTCAGTAGAAACAGCTCTTATTAAAGTTCAAAGTGACATTCTTATGAGCATGGATCAACAAGAAGTCACGCTACTTGTACTACTCGACTTAAGCGCGGCCTTTGATACGGTAGAGCACGAGATCATGTTAGAAATATTAAAATCAAATTTTGGTGTCGGCGGTACTGCGCTTGGATGGATAAAATCTTTTCTATCGGACAGAAAACAGTTTGTTTCAATAAACCAAGTACTCTCAGATAGTTTTCCCATGACCTGTGGTGTTCCGCAAGGAAGCTGTCTCGGACCGATTCTATTTTTACTGTATGTGTCGAAACTATTTGAAATTATTGGAAAGCATTTACCATCTTCACACGGATACGCTGATGATACCCAGCTGTACTTCCTTTTGTCCTGAGTCGCCTGTTTGTCAAAATGATGCAGTTCGGGCTATTGAAGCATGTATAACTGATGTCCGCGCTTGGCTGGTTTCTCAAAAATTAAAATTTAATGATCTCAAGACAGAATTCTTAATAATCGGCACTCGTCAGCAGTTGAAGAAGATTGAAATTAACTCTGTACAAGTAGGGGACGTGGATATTAAACCTGCTGAAAGTGTTCGGGATTTAGGTATCTGGTTTGATAAAAACATGTCGATGGATGTTCACGTCGGGAAGGTTTGCAGCAAAGCTTTTAGAGGATTATATAACATCAGACAAATAAGGAAGTTTCTTTCTCAGGAGACAACTAAAATTCTTGTGCATGCATTTATAACCTCACATTTAGACTACTGTAATTCGCTCTTGTTTGGGATTCCACAGTACCAGTATCAGCGTTTACAAAGAGTTCTTAATGCGGCTGCAAGAATGATATGTTTTACACCAAGATCTGCTCATATCACTCCGGTTCTAATGAATCTTCATTGGTTGCCAATAAAGTTTCGAGTTGACTTCAAGATTGCATTACTGGTTTACAAAGCCCTTAACGGAATGGCACCTCAGTACATTGTTGATCTACTGTCGTATAAGCCTGAAAGCAAATACCATTTAAGGTCGGATAATTGTTCCTTGTTAAATATCCCGAAAACTAATGCAAAAACTCTTGGGGACAGATCATTTAAATACGCTGCCCCTCTCATATGGAATTCTCTTCCACTTCAAATTAGACAGTGTGAAACAATTAATTCCTTTAAAACTCAATTAAAAACATTTTTATTTAGGAAGGCATTTGAATAGACAAACTTCCTATTAAGTGTAAATATCGTGTTAATTTCTAGTAGGATAATTTTAGAATGGTTTTAGAGCATATTTATAACTGTAACTTTTAATTGTACAGCGCTTTAGAATATTTTTAACATAATTTAAGCGCTATATTTAAATGACTATATTATTATTATTATTATAATAAACTGATACAGAGAATGCAATAAAACCAGAACCAAAGTTGTCCATCATTATCAAGAGGTGAAGACAAGAAGTTAATTAACAAACCATGACACATTTATCTTTGACAATATTAAATATATCTACATTTACCTGAACATAGTCTCACAATCATCTTCAGAAATATCATTGAGGTTCAGACGGCAACGTTTCACTGTTGTTGGCATTAATGTTGAAAGTAAAATAGTTTCTAAGTCATCATCGCTGTCATCACTATCTTCAATAAGTCCCATTAGCTGCAGAACTTCTGCCCTGTCACGTCTAAAAAACAATGATAAAATGAATTCCAGCGCTATTTCAATACAATATTTATGAAACAATTGTAAAATTAATTAAAAAAACAAGTCTAGTGTGTGTACTTTACCTTCTCTTAGCAGCCATTTTTGAGTATCAAATCGCCGTCCGAGTTCACAAGCCAATAATGTGGAATGAGAACTAGTCCCCAGTATCAAGTCACCAAAACGAGTAAAAACGCGAAGCTTAATCGCATGAACGCCAATGTGAAACGGCAAACGGCAAACGCGAACTTCCCGTTTGTCGTTTGGCGTTTCACGCGAAGCTTAACCTCCCTAGTAACAGTGTCGTTGAAAGGAATAGGGAGACATAATGAGTTGACTGGTTTAACTTGTTGAATACGCTGTCAAATGTCATTTGCCTTAGAAAGTATCGAGAAATCGTCTTCGGATAGATTGAGAGGCAGACCAAAAGATCAGCAATAGCAAGATTCGTTACCAACCAGCTGCTAAGCGTTCGCTCGTTGTTCAGACATATGTTGTAAAAGATGACAGCCGCATTTCCAAGCACTCCAACAAAGAGAAAAATAAAACTGAGTATCATTAAGATGAAGCAGATAGATCGAAAATACTCATGATCACGACCGCCTTCGTCGTTTATGGTATGAGTATAATTATTCATGATCATTGTGGCGGGGATCCATTCTTCTAAATTCTGTGTTTCTCTCGTCGAAGCCCCGCCTTAGTAGTAATGACAGTTCAGACAAAACATATGGTGAGCATTATTGCGTTTTCTCTTGATCGAAGCGGAACGCCACTTTGTACGCAAGAGTTTCAAGTGTTACTGTCATTGCGTATGTCATTACGATCTTATTGTGGATCGTAATGGGACACTGTCAATACCGATAGCTGATTGTACAAAAGAATAAAATAGAGCTAGCATCTACTGGGAAACGAGGTTTTCAACTTATAACGTAAATTAAGACTCCCATCTTATGCTGAATAGTATTTTGATGTTTTAAATTACGCAAGGTGCTTTTGGGCGGGAAAATTTCACTGTTAAATATTCAAAACAAATAATAATTAAATTATACTACCAAAGCAATTAAATGAAACACTTTCTCACTTTTTGATGCAATTTCCGGTGCGACGAACTAAAAAAGCAAAAACTTGCGGCAGACTTCGGCGAAGTCAGTTTACAAACCTGTGAAACGAAATTAGCTAGCGAGAATTTCTAGCTCCTTACTGTTCGCTTTTGAACGAAGAAAAGACGGAATATGTCAATCAGCAAGTGATGATAAATGTTAAACCTGTTACTCGTTATTCATCTTTTCGATGTTTGGGGGTTGAATTAGATGAAAGAATGAGCTGGGAAAAGCATATAGACTCAATATGCAAAAAAATTTCCTTCAGTATCGGAGTCATTAAAAGGGTTGAACCGTTTGTAACACTTGAAACTCTTGTGCTTCCATATTTCGATTACTGTTCTACATTATGGGACAACTGTGGAAGCATGTTTATAGATAAATTGCAGAAATTACAAAATAGGGCAGCCAGAATTATAACAGGGGCAAATTACGATTTCGGATCAGCAGATTTGCTCCACGCTATGTCGCGGAAGAAGGCATAAAACGAATAAATCTGTTTTGATGTTTAAAATATTGAACAACCACTAATTAAGAAATAAATTCATTACAAGAGAAAATTTAAATTTGAATAATTATTATCTTAGCAGGGCCGTAACTAGAACGATAATTGGGGGGGGGGGTGTTTATTCATATATTCAGTTCTGCCCGACGGATTTCTTTTGTAAGTGCAATAGCTTACAATGGAAATCCGTCGGGCAAAACTGAATATATGAATAAACACCCCCCCCCCCCAATTATCGTTCTACAATCCTGGAAAAAAATTCGTAGACTTTCCTAATTTTGATATTTCCTCCCCCCTCCCCCCCCATTACAATGTTGAACTAGTGTTGTATCTCTTCCAAATTGTCATTAAACTGAACAACATTGTAATTGGGGGAGGGGGGGGGGAATTTATGGCAACTTGTCTTTTAGTTGAGAGAATTGGTACATTTGCTGTACATAACTGGAAATCTGATTGGACTTCGAAAAAAGTCTCCCAATATTTTTTCCAAGATTGTCTCAGTTTAAATATTCAGTTAAAAAACGTTTCGCTAGCCTATTCGTTGTTTATGATAAAGTTCTGCTGTGTAGGTCTTTTTTTTAAGTGTGAGATGCCAGGGTGCCGTAAATACAAGTTTTTGCGTTTTTAGGGGGGGGAGCTAGAGTTTATAAAGGGGGGATACATGTCTATATAAATATACATAACGTCTCACCACCATGTAGAAGGCTCAGTGCGATCTTTGTTTTGCATTCTGAGTGGTAACTTTAAACTATTTGTTCACGAGTTTGCTATGTTATTTAAAGTTTAATGGATGAAATTGATAAATCTAAACCAAGACGAACATATTTGGTCACTTACAGTAGAGCGGATTTGAAGAAATTTCCTTCAAGGGAATCTTTTGCTAAAGTTGTAGTCGCGGCTTTTACATCGAACCGCAGCAAAGTCGTTCCACAACATTGGGCATGTTGCTTAGAAAAGCACTCAGATGGTGGTCTTCATTACCACGTAGCCTTGAAGCTTAGTGGTCCCAAAAGATGGCTGGAAGCCAAAAAAAGTCTTGAAGCACAACACCGTATAATTGTCAATTTCTCTGACCACGATGGATACTACAGCGCGTATCAGTATGTAAACAAATGCGATGATACGGTTTATCACAGCACAGGCCACCCAAACCTGCAGGAAATTGGCTCTCCCAAAACCAAGAGATGTCAACAATTATATGCCAAACGGCGCCGTGAGAAAACGCAATGTTCAACGTTGAACAACGCTGGTGAATGTTCGACAGCTTCGAAAAGAAAGAAAAAGCTGTCGAATTTAGAAGTGGCTGAATTTCTAGTCAACGAAGGGATTAAATCTGAGACCAAATTGTTAGCGATTGCTAATGAGCGGCGCGAACAAGGAAAGAAAGATCTCGCAGATTTTGTGCTGTCGCGTAATTCTAAATGTCTTAACGACCTTATCCAGCAAACATGGAAGATGAATGACGCCTCTTCGACCCTAGAACGAGAAAAGAAATCACGAATTGACGTAATACGGAAAGCAGCTAGTGGCGAATGTGTAACGACCTGTGAAGGCCGATGGTTAAAAAGTGCTCACGAAGTGCTTATGAATAATAAAGTTCATCCGATAGTTTTTGCTGCTGCTGTGAGAGAGCTACTGTTGCTGGGAAGAGGAAAACATAGGAATATTATTATAGTTGGCCCGACGAACTGTGGCAAAACATTCCTATTGAAGCCATTGCAGTTAATTTTTAAGACATTCTTAAACCCTGCAGCCGACAAATACGCTTGGGTTGGAGCCGACACCGCCGAGATTATTTTGTTGAATGATTTTCGATGGAGCAAAGAGGTTATTGAATGGAAGAGCTTGTTGTTGCTGTTGGAAGGAGACGTTGTAAAACTACCTGCTCCAAAAAACCACTTCAGCGCCGATGTCTGTATCGATAAGGACACTCCGGTATTCGCTACTTCAAAGTGCATAATTAAGTACAGGGGCAATTACAACTCAGAAGATCAAAATGAGGACGCAATGATGGCGTCAAGATGGAAAGTGTTTTACTTTTCATATGGTATACCTGGAAAGCCAGCAGAAAGATATGGCACCCTGTGCAAAATGCTTTGCTGAGCTTGCTCTCTTAGGTGAAATAAACTAGAGTACGTTATAAACTTACACCTTTCATAAGCTGTTCTGTTAGTAAGCGCTAACGGTAACAATGGAGTCTACGATACTGTTGTGTTTATTTTAATTCTCGTGTGTGAGATACTGTTTGGACTAGAAACATTAATTTAATAACCATTACTTTCGTGCTTTATACTATATACACTTTATAAGAAGTCTAAAATATACATGTTACGCCATGTTACACTACATGTTACACTACATGTTACACTAAAATTACTATATTTTACTATAGTTTTTAACATGTTACAACATGTTACACCTAGTCTTTAAATAACTATAGTTTCTTTAAAAAGTAGGTGTAACATGTTGTAACATATCAAAAACTATAGTAAAATATAGTAATTTTGGTGTAACACGTTGTGTAACACACAGTGTAACATGATGTAACATGCGATAATTTTAGTCTAAGCCTTGTATGCTTAGAGTGTTGCTAGAACTAATATTAGTTTTTACATGGAAAAGTTTATAAAAAGCAAATGTTTCTGCATAATAGTTATACATGAGTTAAAATTAGCATTAAAGCACGTATAATGTGCAATTAGCTGAGTTATTTACACTGGTAAAAGTTCAACACTCTTGTCAAAGACTACAAAGGATAAATGACATTTTAAACTATCCACTCAGTACTTGGTTCTTTGACCCTTTTCTCTTATAACCGCCGTAATCCTTCCATCCATGCTGTCAATGATTTTATCAATTTCCTCAGGACTGAAATTCAGCATGGTTGTTTTGACCCGATTAGACAGTTCTTTAATGTTTTCGTTTACGATTTGTTTTCAAATGCATCATGATTTAAACGAACAGTAAGCGAATGAAAAAAATTTTCAATTGGATTAAGATCAGGGCTTCTAGGAGGAATTTTAAACACTAAACCACCGACTTTTTTGATAGCTTGCTTTGCCATCTTGGAATTTTGCCTTGGGCATCCATCCATGAGGAATCGTTTTCCTTTTGGGTTTGAAGATTTTTTAAATGTTTCGGGAAAAGATGACTTAACAATTTCGGCAAACTTATTCCCAGTAATCGTTCCATCATATTGCTCACACAAGACAACGCCTTTGCCGTAAGATATAGCAACCATGAAATTGACATTAATACCACCTTCCTTTTTTCCCTTGGCTGTGCAATTGAATTTTAAACCTTCTCCCCGTTTCCTCCATTCTCGAGCACCTGGTGCACGTGCTTGGTCGTAAGGATTACGT